AACATTCATGTGTATTAGTAGTATTACTAAATCCTATCATGGTCAAGTAAAAATGAGGTTGAGAAAATCTCCCCGTAACTAAATAAACCGTATCAAACTAACTGGAACACTAGTTGGAATTCTTCTCCACGGTATACTTTCGTTCCTTCAGTTAGCCTACTAATACAGATGCAATTGGAATTCAACTCATATGGACAACTTACTGGCATAATCGTTATTTGATTTCATAATTTAAACCAAAACTAATACCAATATTAACATTTCTACAATATTCATCACTTTACTATTTCTAAACACAAAATACTTACTACCTATACGTTAAGTTATTAACCAACGGCTATTACCACGCATCATTTTAGTATTATTATTATTATGCCATTCTTTATAGTTCAAATAATCTTCACCCAAATTTTCATTTCAAGCATGTTAAGCAGGAAGGCAGATATTTCAAAATTATTACATGTATTTCCCGACCAGATGTTGCCGCTTTCTTTTTGATTTATCTTTCAGCTTACCAATACCCGGAGAATTCTACCTATTTTTGGTAACCTCCGGCGCGCGACGATCCCATCCAGTTTGGTGTCGAACCAACATCACGTTGATTCTGGTGGGAGAGTAGTGTAGTGGCGAAGAGTGCGGTTATTGATAATTGTACGTTGCTTGTTTGAGGGACGGACTGCTTTGTAGCACATAAGAGCGTGTGTAGTAAGAAATCCCAATGAGCATCTATATCGAGCTGGGGGTGAACATCCCAATACACTTGTTGTAGATTTTCCTGTAAAGTTGAAACATTCAACCGTTTGAAATTCCAGCGCCTGTTGTTGGGTGGATGTCTTAGCTCAGTTTTGCTGACAAAAGTGAAGGCTATGACGGCGTGATCGCTTTTTCCCAGGGGAGCCAGGATTGAGAGGTTGTCAACTAGAAATTCTTCGTTTATAATAACCCAGTCTAAGCGTGACGGTATCTGACTGCTTCTCCAACGAGTTGCCGAATTCACTTTTTCATATAATCCCAGATCCTCGATGAGGTTGAAGAACAGAGCTTCCGTAGAGTTTTCATCTCCAGTATACGTTTATTCCACAAACTTGACGCTAGGGAGATTGAAGTCCCCAATAATCAGGATATGAGTGAATTCGAGACAAGTAGAGCCGGTTAGTCTCTCCACCATACGACTGTCATACAAGCTGTCAGCAGCGGGCTTTCTATAGATGACCTCGACTAGGTACCTCGAGGTAGTAGACAATCTTACTGAGCACCATGGAGATTCATCAAGATTGTTAAACTCATGGTTGTGGATTTGGATTACCTTCAGACAGGATCGTATGTATACGGCTACTCTACCCACAATTCCTGTTTTCTGTCGTTGCGAAACAAAGACATCCCAGGTAATTCTAGCTCCTGTTCCCTAAACTGAGATATCTAAGTTCCAGATATTCCTGTCAGATGAGCCTTATTAGCACTACTAAGTCCACGTAGCTCATCCATTTTATTCGGTAAACTCGCGGCGTTCATGTATGAGCAGTTTATGCCTTCAATTTACAGCGCATGAGCTTCCCTATCCAGTTTGTCTGTATGAGCCTTACGTGAATGGACAGGTAGCCTACCCATATAAGGTTTGCAGAGTTGGCAGGCCCCGTCCCTTTCACGTCTTTTATGATCAAGGCAGTTCACAAGTGTAATGGACAGCTCCGACTTGTCTTTGTGCTTGATCCTGGTGTCATCTTTCCTTTGCGGATTCATATGGACTCCAGTTAGCAACGAAAGTCTGTTGGCACGAAATGCTTCCAAATTTGCAGCCGCTGTATGGGAGGATGAGAAAGTTATCTTTATTATCCGGAGTCTAGAATCTCCATCCTTCTGGGCTAGTCTCATCACTTGTTGAGTCAATATATTTTTGAGCTTCGAGGATTGCTTGATGAATTTTCATTCCCTAATATCAGAGATTGTGTGGTCAGGGTCCGTGTTTCCCGACACACCTTGCACAATGATATTCCTTCCCCGGAAAAACGTCTCGCGAGATTTCTTAGAGATGTTCCGCTTTAGATTGCGTTCAGAATACGGTATGTCGCGCAGTATTCTTACATTCCCATCTGATTTCAGTAAGTGGTTAGATAGTAGGATACCCTCTACGTCGTTTGCATTCTAAAGTGTTACACGAAGTAGCCTTGGGTGATTTCGATGCTTAGAGTCTTTTCCTTGAGTGATCTGTGTGGCCCTCAAAGGCTCTCTTCTGGAAAGTTCAAGCTTCTTGCTTAACTTTTTTCAAAGCATCCTGTCACTTTTGTCCTGCAAACTGAGAGGAAGGTCAGGGTTGTCTTTGAGGCTCATAAATATGAAAGTAGTTATGCCATGGCCTTTACACCTGTAGAGGCATCGGACCATAACCACACAATCCTCAAAGCCGAACACGAGACTACTCGGAAAATAGATATTCAATATTTAACGCGGAGAAATAGTTAACGATGGAGAAGGCGGGAAAAATGAATTGGATGATTTCAAAATGATCGAATGAAATTGCTCGACTTTGCAGGTGTGGTCCTGTTGAATGTTATCTTATATCTTCTATTTATAAAAAATGTATTGTTCTATCACTAGCCTAAGCTTGCTCTACGTCATATATTGGTGATTATTACGACTCAATGAGTTGGTGTAGACGAGGATGTGACTTCTACGAAAGAACTTATAGATTAGGCAGTTATATTATTATTATTAATAGCTTTATTCAATATTATAGTTTGGTACAATATAGAATTCTCAGCCCAAATCTACAATTATAGGATTAGGTCTATTATTAGATCAGTACTAATACCATAGTAGATCATAATTCTTCACACCTTCCAATATCAAAGTACTTTCACATGACTTTCAAGATCTTTATCGTACACTCAATCCGAACTACAAAGCAGTGAAGCATCCTCAGTTAATGCGGTCAAACGGTAGCTCCCAATTACCTTGGTTCGGCCCAGGCTGGGGAGAGTCGGCTTTCCCTCTCTTTTTCGACAGGATGACCATGTGCGCATTCTAATTCTACATAACAGTGAACTGTGCTTCCTATGAAAATAGCACTTACCTCTAAGAGCGTAAAATTGATAAGATATCTTGAGATAGGAAAGTCAGTATAGTAGGAAACATTAGCTGAATTTTAAGAAACCTGTTCAGTTTACGCCATGTGTGCAGCGTACAACAGTAATGCTGTAGGGTCAGCGAAATGTCGCTAAGCCTTAACCAAATCATTCGGCAGTTGAGTCATTGATTATCAAACAATTAATCGATCCTAATCAAGGTCAAGAACAACGAACGCGCATCAGTTAATCGTACTCCATGGACTGGGCCATGAGGCAGTGTTCTTACTTTCGCTTGTATCAACATTAACTAATATATTTCTGTAATAACGTCCTCCGTGTTGTACAGTCTTCAAAGCGTCTATGGTTCGTTGATACATCAATGGGGTATTCTACGTAAAGTGCCGACCACGATGTATGACTTCAACGTTAGCTGGTTCGTAACGCCATTCCCATTTAACTCGTGTATGCTTCCGATCATTCGACATAGATCGTCTACGTTGGTGACCTACACTGGTGAGCTCGACGTGATCTGTAGCGGTAAATAAATCCCCAAAATAAAAAGTTCTGTGGGTTTTCGACATTGGATGCTGACCATATTCGTTTTAATGGACTCACCTAGCTAAAGGCGCTCGGTCATGCATTCACACCAGATTACGAGTGAGAACGCCGTGTTCAACAACCTCAGCAATCGCTAGCGAGAATAGATCAGACGATCCTCGATATACTGATAACCTATCAAATGGATTTTCGGACCTCCTCGCTTCTGTCTTTTTATTTCACTTGGTGGGTACGATTTATATTAGAAGATGTTACTGATTAAAGCGTTGTCAAACTCCGAATATTTGTGGCATCTTCAATGCCATCTAAAAACATGAAAATTTCAACACTAACAACACTCAAATTTACGAAAATAAATTCAAGGATTGTCCTGGAATAATAAGACACATGCAGTGAATGAGGCATTTCGAAATGTTTGAGAGTGACCGACTTGTTGTAGTCTTTGACAAAAGAAAATGGAACGTTAATTATTGGTAGATACAGCATAGGGAAACAAACCCTAGAACCTATTAGTTGTGAAAGGTAGGAAAATCTTGAGACAAGATGCAGATATTTTGTAATCGAAAAAAGGAATAAAGTAGGATATTGTGTAAAACTGCATCGAATGGTCTTGAAACTTGAATGCACCAAATATCACGAGGTAACCTGGATTTACAACTAAATTCAAACACAATAAATTATTTGAAATCTGATATCACAGGAAAACAATGTGAAATTGTATAACGACATAACAACTAATCTGGAGATTATTCACGTTCCTTGTTAATCAGATCGATGAAAATATAAAAATGTTGATTCCGAACTTAGAAAAAAACTTGCTGTTCAACAGTTTTCGAGTTTGGGATTGTATACTCTACCACATACATCTTATGGTAACTTAAATTATTATCATGAAGGGACTGGGGAGGTAAATAAAGAAGAAAGTTGCCCTTGGAGAGTGATATTTTGTATATGTCCAATCTCTGGCACGTGGTATTTCATAGTTGCATCATCAATGAAGTCACTTTGTGTGAATCAGCAACCAAGTAATTTCTTACCTTAAATTGGGAGGAATTTCGTTGGACTTTTTTGATGGTATAGGCAGTTTTATAGAGGTCAAGCGCGTCCCTTTAACCGGAACAGTCAGTGAGGCATCATCAAAGTAACTAGCAAAGGATATAAGATTACCGAGATGTTAAAAAATGCACGATTATTGAGCATTCAATTCTTCAATCTATGTACTACAGAAAAGTCTGTTTGCTTGGGATACCAGGAACAGCTGTTATAAAATGATACACACACTTATTTGTTGTTAAATAAGATATTTAATACCAACGATTAGGTAAAACTACCGATCAGGCGGGAAGCGCGGTATTTGATCTGGGGAGTACGTTTAAAATGTTGGGTCCTCTCAAAGAAATGTGCGTCTCCCCATTTCTTGGACAAAAGTCCCGTTCTATGGCCACTTTGAAAGATATTGCAGTAAGACTACGGTCTGTGAAAAACATACAGAAAATCACTGCATCTATGAAAATGGTTTCGGCATCAAAATTTGCTAGAGCTGAACGTGATCTACGTCCAGCCAGACCTTATGGCTATGGTGCTCGAGGTACTTTTAAAGTATATCTTGACTGCCACAGCATTTTATCAGACCGCGGAATTAGTGCCAAAGGAGACCAAACCTAGTGAGAATGACTTACTGATCGCAATCACATCCGATAGAGGTCTGTGTGGTGCAGCTAATAGTAGTATTGTAAAGGTAAGATGGGATAAATTATCTTAATACTTGTAGGCAATCAGAGCTCAGCTTCGTAGCAACCCAAATCTAGAAAATTCATGCAAGTTGCTCTTGGTTGGTGACAAATCTCGCGCAATGATGATTCGTCAATATCGTAACATGTTTTTGATGACTGTCAATGAAGTCGGCAAAAAGGCACCTACTTTCGAGGATGCGTCCACAATAGCTCAGGCGATAATATCATCTGACTTTAAATTTGATAAGGCTGTGATGTTTTACAATACCTTCAAGTAATTATTATTTCAGTTTGACATTTTGTAGGACAGTAGTATCTTACATAACGACAAGTCAGCCGCTCTTAAGCCTAAATAAATTGTCCTCCTCTGAAAACATTGGTATTTATGACTCAGTAGATGATGAAGTCTTGGAAAGTTACAATGAATTTCTCCTGACCTCACTAATTTTTGCTGCTTTAAAAGAGGCAGCTGCTAGCGAACAGTCAGCTCGGATGACTGCTATGGACTCGGCTACGAAAAACGCAGGTATGTACTTTATTTCATCGTGCATTATTTGAAGGTGATATGTTGAGTAAACTGACACTCAGTTATAATCGAACACGTCAGGCAGCAATCACACGTGAGCTCACTGAAATTATATCTGGTGCTGCAGCGGTCTAATTTTGTCGGCAACTCCAACTATTACGAGATAATATAATCCAGTAGTAAATATCCATTAAGTATTTCGTTCTGTTTTCCTTCATGTATTTACTTCATATAATAACGGTTACAGTCTATTCAGAAGTTAATCTAGTGTGATGAACTTGATATAAATAGGCATAGGTTAATAAGAGATTTATATAAGATGAACTTTTATCATTAGGACACAGACCGCAGTCAATCGAAGTACAGTACATGGCAGTAGTTTCTCTTCACGTCTAGTAAAGTAGCGGCGACATGTTCTGGGCAGACCACATTTTGAGAGTATTCACTCCATGATTACCGCACTTGTTGGGTAATATGTATTTGCAGAGTATTTTTCACGGGATTTAATTGTTTAAATTTCAAAGTTTTTCTTAAACCTTACCAACTCTCGATTTTGCTGAGATACGAAAAAATTTCTAGCTCTTTTTACATAAAAGCAGTATAGAACGTCCAAGTGCAAATTCGCAGTCCTCTGCGTAACATCTTGTGAAACTTTTGATTATCTTCATTACGGCAAGTAGGCTATATATTTGGATTAGTCAAGATAAAGTAAATAGTTCACCTAGAACTATTAATATTCTATAGTATATTTTCGTACTTAGATATAGCTCTTTAGGCGTAATTAAATATTGTTGATTAATGATCATGTCGAGGTAATATTTTGCTACAGATTCTATGCATCAAATACCAGCAGTCAAGTGAGAGAAGTATATCTATCATTAAGTGAGTTAATAAGTGTAAACCAAATGAAGTAAGGGAACTATAGCGTGTCTGTCCGTTCAGATTACCTACAAAACTGTTTTTAAATGATCGGTCATAGTGCTCGTATATCCTGGGACTATCGAGTAAGTAACGCAATTGTTAGGAAACGGGTACTAGGTAAGAATGGCAAATCAATTGATGAAGTAGTGAAACTTCATCAGTTGAGATGGCTGAGACACGTGTTACGTATGCCCAACGACCGACTGCCTCGACGTGCTATGTTCAGTGGTATAGGAGTAGGTTGAAAGAAAGCTAGGGGCGGCCAGACCAAAACATGGCACAAGACCATGAAGTCACTGACAAGTGGACTGAGTCATGTTGGTAGGTGTAGACTACCTGGTTGGGGACCGCGAGATGATAGCAACCGGTGGTTAGAGACCCTGTATGACATGGCTCAAAATCGTTTGCGATGGCGCAGATGCATCCACTCTTTGTGTTCTTCTTGTCAACTTGCGCTTAAGCTGACTCCGCTCTTCATTATGTTCAGAGCCAAGTGGAATGAGTTCTCGAGCATCTATCAGTGCGATAGATGCTGCTGAAATCCAGTGTCGCTCCCTAACCTTACGGGTTATTGTACTAGCAGATATCACTGCTGTTTCCACAGCTTTTCAGATATCATTCCATGCTGCATCGGGGTGGGCATCACATACATGGCTGCCTGTTTTCCTAGTTGTTCCTGAAATATACTCTTAGCTTGACTATCATTAAGTAGGGCCCTAAGAGGTTTACTTGCAGCGTCTTACCTACGTCCAGTAAGACGCAGACAGATACGCGCTCGTACTAGAGCATGATCTGAATCTAAGCATGTGCTCCAGAATGAGCGACAGTCTTCTATCGAGCCCCTCCATCGGTGGCTGATAGCGATGTGATCTATTTGGGTCCAACGTTGGGACGAATTAGGGGGTCTCCATGTTAAAAGATGTTTTTCCTTATGCTTAAAGTTAGTATTTGCAAGAAAGAGGCGGTTATCTGAGCATAGCTGCAACAGACGGTCGCCATTATCTGTTCTTTGAGCCACGACACCATAAGATCCACCTCGGTGTCTTTCCGTTTCGTTTAGTTTGCCTACTTGAGCATTAAAGTCACCGGCCACTATTACTACATCAGAGCGCCTAGCTTTTCCTGAAGGTCGGAAAGTTTTCTGTAAAACTCACCTTTTACATCATCTGAGCTGCAGTCAGTGGGAGAATAGGCAGAGACGACGAAGAGGCAACGACGAGTATCCCTATCTTTTTGGATCCTTGCTGTTCCGTTCAGTCGGATAGCGCACAAACGACTGCCTACTGGGATCCACTCTAAGAGAACTAGTTCTGCCCTAGGACTCAATGCTATACCTACGCCGGCGAGGCCACGGGAAGGAGAATCTGGGCTTCCAGATACACGAAGTGTGAATCGAGTCGGTTCTTTATTTTGGTATGGTGAGGTCAAGTGAATGACGCTACTCGGATCCTTTATGCGCGTTTCGGAGACGCAGCACACATCGATGGCGCGGGATTGTAAAGTCCTAGCTAAGGAATTCTGCTGTCCTATTTGGCACAGTGTTCGAACGTTAAAAGCTCCTACGTGTAGTTTAGAATGTGGTTTCAGGAGACCAGGAATAGCGTTCCGCGCACTCGAATCGTTTTCCCTAGCGGTGCAAGATGATAAAGAGACGTGAGGAGGGTTAGTCATGGAGATAAGAGAGGTATTAGGAGGTGTAGGAAGGATTTGAATGTGACCGACTTGGTCTCGTGCGCTGTTACGGGTATGAGGGCTGATATCACTTCCCGGCTGCCCATACCGTGGAAGGGTATTTCTTGAGGAACCTGAAAAAGATGTCGGATTAGTGTTGGTTTTAACGACCTGGGAGCGTGACCGCAGAGCCCAAGGGATAACTGCTTGAGACCGGTCGCGCACGGCCTTTTCGTGGGAGGTTTTTAATGTGTTAGCTCCATTCTTGAAAAGGCTTTACCGCCGGAGACAGAAATCCGTGAGGTAAGGTGAGGTGTAACATTTTTAGTGTCGACCCTTTCTAACCCTGCCCCTTCTTGTGGGAAGGCAGCATCGCTGTCATGCTGGTTGTCCGAGGGAAACACCTTACGGTTGTCACACGCCTCTACAGTCAGCAGTACGACTTCGCCCTCAGACCTTGAGTTGCTGCTTTTAGTTTTACCGTTCTCCAATCGACCTGCCTGGCATGGGAGAACCTACAGGAACATATGTTCCAGCCAATATAGCTCGGCTGGGTCATCACGATAGGCAAGCCCGACCACCGCGTCAAGGTAGCAGCTTCGGTCGGGCTGCCTGATCACAATCACTGATTGTCCCAATGTATAAAAAGGAGTTAAAATCATCCTGTGATAACCATAGAGGGATTCGTTTGACTAAAATAGTATCTAAAATACTAGCCTCAATAATAATCGGGCGCTTAACTAAGACTCATGAACTGCAAACACGAGAAAATCAGGTTAGCTTTAGACCTGGTCGTGGCTGTATCGAACACATACCATTCTTCAGGTTCTAGAACACGGGCATGCTTATCGGCGTCCAACAATGATAGTTTTTCTCGACTTGAAAGCAACATTTGACAGTTTGTAAATCGCTCTGAGCAGGTATACTATTAACAATTCCGTTTCAACACTAGTTGTTATGATGAGCGGTGTTCGAGATCTGACGCTGATACACAACGTGTTACTTATTAACTCTTCAAACTGACTACATGGGAGAGAACTCAAGAGTGGAACAGGGTTTGTTGGGCTGCCGAACGATATATATATTCCTATTCCCTAGAAAATGAATCTATTACTTATCGAATGACATGCAGTTGTCCTATAGGTCATTTGCAGTTGCCCTCAAGTAACCTTACTTGGCTAGTTCTGTTTGCTCACTATATCACTGATCCGCGTCAAAACCTGAACTGATGGTCAGGATTGAGTGTGTTGATCACTTACATTAAAAGTCTGATCGGACTCGAAAAACACAGTTGGCGTTTGCCAACTTGCGTCGCTTGTGGGATAGGCAAGTCGTCCTTTTTTAACTAAAGTACAAATACACTTCACCAGTCGTTTCTGTCCCATTTTATGTCTGCGAAATTAGAAGACATCCGTAAGCTGAAGCTTTTTAATTAAAGATGTCTTCGAGGCATTGCTCGCATTTCGTCGAGTAACCGAGTTCAGAATGTTTAGGTTAACCAAAGATTACCAGGCAACTCGGTTGACTAGACAGTAAATCTTCAGCTGTTACAGAATGTGTTACGCATTCCCAAGTACTACTTACCTCGACAAGCAGTGCTCACTAGTGCAGAATTAGGTTGGGGCCCAAACGAAAACTTAACATTCGTCTGTGAAGTCATTGATCGCTAGTCTGGGCCATATAGGTAGGTACGGGTTGGGGTCCATGTAGTAACCTTAATCAGTGGTTGAGGGCTCTGAAGGATACGGCTCAGAATCGTTTGCGATGGCTCGGATGCATTCACTCGATATTGAATCCCAGTATCCCTTCGTACATGCCTTTCCACTGTATTGTTAAATCATATTCTTAAGGCCTAGCCCTTCATTATATCATTGCTACCACACTATTTCGCGATTTGTTTAGGTATTTTCATCTCGTGCTGATCAGGTGTGGTCTACTCTACTTACGTTAGCAGACATAAGTAGTATGTAACACGAGTCAGAAGTGGAATACGTGGGAGCAGAAGGTTGAGACTGAATTGAGGGGGACGGGAATATAAACAGACAGTAATTGTAATAACAATGAATGGACGATGGAGTTTGAAACGATTGATGAAAGATTCGCGGATGAAGTATTTATGTATCGTTTATCACATTTTATGAAAAACTGTAATTTTGCATTGAATAATAAATTGGTTGTCCCTACCTGAGTCTTCGTTCAGCACACAGGTATGGCAACCTGGGCCAACACACATCTGTCTCTGTCTATTGCTAGGTTTGAAGCTATCACGATTTCACTTAATCTACGAACGAGAACAAAGACCAGTAAGCTATCGCGGCATAACACTATCTGACACACGTATAATTAAGTTGTGATTACCAAGTTATTTTAACCTTTAGTATTAACTAGTTAGTACGATTTGTCTCAGATGCACTTGGGAACGAAGAGGCTAATTTTCGTAGGTTTTCATTTTTTAGGAATAGCAGTAAAATATTAAGTTGAATGTATACGCTGGTGGGACCCAGCTACCTGTGCTTGGTTCCGTTAAGTGGTTTTGTTAGGAC